GCTGATATCCCTGATAAAAGAAAATGCAAAATATTAATCTTCTGGCCATTTAATACGGAAAGCTCATGATTTACTGGAGTTTTTGAGACTATTTACTTAGTTTGTAATACCATATCATGTCTTAACATACATAATATAGACCGCAGATTGAGACTGCGCTGAAGGCCTTCGCTTGAAAGTCTTGGATACACGACGCGCCAGTGTTTTTCAGGGCACTGGGGTGCGGCAAAGAATCGGGTAATTAGGAAAGGAATGCGTTCATGCTGTTGTCACAATTTTCGCTCGTCGTCTACAGAGCAATCTCGTCTAGTCTACATTCCCGGGCCTCACAAGATGAGATCTGATGCAATCGAAAAACAGATCTCGCGAATTCAGCAAGTCAGAGTCCAAAGTTTCTGTCATTAATGCAAAACTATACTCCCTGCTTTATGCTGATTCAGCATACCCGGTTCACGAATTATTCCCGTCGTGTTACTTTCGAGATCATCACCTTAAGTTACCGTATCCAATCAGAATTTCTTTCTGTAATACTGTAGCATCACTGCATTTTATTTCTGCCCAAATCTCACCGAAAGAAGTAGGAGCAAAGATTGGATGCCTTATTTTTGGAATTGAAAAACATGAAGGTTGCATACAAAGTAACTTTTCCCGCGAGATTTAAAGAAAAAAATGCTGCCTCGGCCAGAAAAAAAACTACGGATATGCAATGATTTTCTCGTTTGATCCGACGTGATGCTGTCCCAAAAATACCAACAATGATTCCAGCAATTACACATCCGTTGTCAGGAGCCCACATTCTTCATTTATTTTATTCTTCGACATTCTTCTGAATATTTTCTCCGCTGTCTCGACACGGACGAGCAATTAAGCACCGACCGCAGTTACCAGAGAACTGCTCTCCAACTCGGAGGGAAAATACAGGATCATGAGGGAACGCAATCAGTCACAGTCTCAATCACGTTCGGCTTCGTTTCTCCGAGCAGGAACAGAATCCTTATTAAGCTGCTGCGACGCGGGTCATTTAAAGTTTTTAACAATTTCCGCGTCCACTTCTGTATAGCAAGTAGTGCATTAAACATAATACATTTAAGCTTACTGGGCAATCCATCAGCGACGGTGTTGAATGCGATCTTTTTGCAGATATCATTCGACAGAGCTCGAAAGTCATCCAAAGTGAAGTGAGAACGCGGGATTTTTCATTCCCAAGTACAATGCTAACCTGAGGCATTCGGATGATTTTTTCCGGACCATTTCTAAACTCACCGTTGTAACTGCTGTATCTAAGTGAACTATGTTCCAAAAATTTTCCAGTCACGCAAATCACAGGACGAACTCGATATCTCGGGTTCTTAGCTAGAGCACAAAGGAATCTCTATTGTTCAAGTTAATGATGAGATGCATTCTTCCGTATAATCCAAAATCTCGAAAAATTGGAAACCGTATTCAACGGTGACTCGACGTAATACTAGTGGCATTCCTTACAATAAAGAAATAATAGTACAGTACAGCAAATTTTCCAGAAAGCTCTTAATTACATCATAATATTCAGATATAGAATTATGTTACGTGGAATCGTGGGAGGTCTTGGTGACAGCGTTGCAGAGACACTTTCGGCTTCAGGATTTGGAGATACTGTATAATGCAAAGCACGAATAGCTGAATTCGTGGGTAATCAACGAACGGTTAATGGAAGTTATCTTGTACTCGTATTCGCAAAGCTCAAATTGTGTTCAGTCATGACCCGAAATTGTCCGCCCGACTGCCTCAGGTTTTGATTGCCAACTCATTTATCCCTGCTTGGGTTAAATTTTAATCTAATTACAGTATCGGAAAAAAAAAGCAGGCACTGTAGTACCGTAGCTGGGTATGAATCGAAAAAAGAAACCTTCATCGCGGGATTGAGACCTCTATTCTCGAACAGTACAGTATTGCATAAATTTTCGGCTTCATGCCGATTCACCGTAATACGAATTTCCAAGAAGGCAATGCAGGTGGACCCTCTTTATAACGATCTGGTCTACTACGATTTTATCTGCACAACGATTTTTATTTATTTTTTAGTCTCATAGGGTACTCTCCCCGTGTTATAGGGGTTCTCTGGTTAGAATTATTTTCTGGTCCCTTGAGTTTCGTTTTAAAGAGTACACCTATATTATTCAAAAAATCTTCTTATACAGTACCGTACTTATGTGAACCACTTATCTGTATTCTAGATCTATCCTGATTTCGGCTCACGTGAAAAAAGGCACTCAGTAGTTGAAACAGGCGGTCTCTCTCTACAACGAAACTCAAAGGAACAACAAAAAATTCGTTTCAAAGATTAGTTTCGTTGTAAAGAATCCCTATAACGTGGGGAGTTTACCCCGTGGAACTATAAAAAAAATCGTTATACAGAGAAAATCGTTGTAGATAGACAACATCGTTGTAGAGAGAGTCCACCAGTATTCGAGAGTTCGCTGATTTTAAACAAAGTTTTCAAGTCTGCAAATTATGCAACCCTAAATGAGCTTCAGCTATCTTTGGTTCACAAGGGAAACACGAGGGAGTCAAAGAAAAACGGTACTACCAGGTCAAGAGAAAAAAATTGAACTTTTTCTTTTGTGGAGTAAAGACCCGACTAAATATCCATTCATTCCCACAATGGAGCGATGATGAGCTCGAAGGGACTACCCCAGTCGAATTTCAAATCAACGATTCCACGGCCCGAAGATTTATGAAGGACCCCGTGGTTGCGAAGTTTGAGACATTCATCACGGGGAAGTTCCGAGTCCCAAGCAAAGCGATTCGAGCCCCTCGACAGCGCGTGAAGGATGGGACTAGGCGCGAATGACGTCGACGTACGCCCACGCCGCTGACTTCCGCAAGCGATCAATTCTTGGTTGCGCAAACGAAGGGTCCTAGTACGCGGCGCATTGCGGCGGCTTCAAGGCGCCGGCCGAGTTCTGGATCACAGGATGAACGGTCCATGATAAAACGGGTGAGTGCTTCGACTCGGATTTGGGTGACGTTCGGGTCAGGTCCCGAACGGTTTCAGGAGGTTCGAGCTTGAACACTTCATACGCATGACATGATCATTTCCGAGTCGAAAAGAGCGCAGTTCTTTTCCGGAGAATTCGATATAACTCTGAAACTTGATTAAATTGCCTTCCATTCAAATTTACGCTCTGTGATCCACTCGGGTAAGTTCCTACAGTTTTCAGTCGTTTGCTTCTTTCGTCAGAGTCGTGCTGGATGAATGAAAATGGACACGATTTTACCACGATAATATTATCTAATATTTTATTCTGACCACTGCTCCAATTGTTGCTCACCCAGAGTGAAATTATAACACAGATACTTATACATCACTGAAGAAATAAGTACGGCCAAGCTGTAACATTGATAGGTTGTATAAATTAGTCTACACTAACTACAGTTTCAGTCTCTCAAGAGCATCCGAATTCGGTCAATCAAATTCAAATACTGTACTGTTATCATTAAGTCTTCTTAGCGGCAGTGTCTAAAATCTCACCAATATGTTTCAACAGAAGAGGGTTCTGATTTTTGCGTTTATGACGCTCGATTGGAAAGTCACTCCCCGCGCTGATAAGTGAGAAGGAGGTTTCCAGAATTTTGTTTAAAACCTCATTTTCAATAGGCATTCAATCGTAAATGAGGATTACGAGATGCAAATGATTTTAAAATTTACAAAATGCACATGAAAGAAATTTTTGCTAATGGTTTTATAAATTCAATACACCTTGATTTATAAACAGAGTAAAACCACGGGTATTTTATAACGTATTTTATATGGCCAAATTGTGGTCAAATCTGGCATTACGTTCGAAAAAAATCAATAAAAACTCAGGATTAAAAAAAAAAAAATGTTTTCGGGAACAAACAAACCAGGGTTTCTCCAAAAATTAATAAGTATTTTTCTGTGCAGAAGTGATGCTCGCAAAAGTTTGAACTGTAGAGCTTTGAGTGGCGCAACAAATTCGATGTGGGGTTCCTCGTCATTCATCAACAGGTCATTCAACCTTGAACGAAACAATGTGAGTATCCAGCGGAGAAGTACACCGTACCGACGGGCACGGAGCGAAGCTCCCCGTGATAAACGATGTACGGAATCCCTTCGATTCAATTTGTAATACAACTACATACTTGTTCAACGCAACACGGGATGCATACGTACTCCGAACTAAGACTTTTACATCGTGGTTTTCATTTGATAAAAAAGTAAAAAAAATAGCGGCTGTAGAGAATTTCATCGACAAGCGGCCGAAAAATATCATCCGACACCTTTCTCAGCGGACACAGCATTCGCTTGAAATTTCATCGCACCAAACAAATGTGTCGCCAGTCATCCACATTTTACTATGCAAGAATATTCTTAGGAGATAGCATTCGAGGTGATGCTAAATCGCGGTCATTATTTGCACGAACGCATACTAGAGAGGAAACGGAATTTCACGGAACGGGAATTTTTTGATACAGTTTATATTTTTAAAATTCAAAATGTATTCACTAGCACAGACGCATCAGGCCGGTGTACAATTTTTTCAAACTAAGTTAATATCTTTGGCATCCAGACAAGCAGGATTTTGAAAATCCGCGTTGCATTAAAAACTTCCGCGCAAGCGAGCTTCCTTTTTCTCATGCTCGAAAAATATAAACGCGTGTCACATCTCACAATTCGGTATCAATTCAACGCATTTTAACTTCTGCTACTTCAACTTCTGAAGGGTTTTCGCGGGCCTTCTTTCATTTGGAATTCTGCATAGCGCTGATTCTTTTACTGGCTTTCATCATCAAATGACAGCAGGACACGCGTTTCATACGACAAACTTCGGGATATTTTTTTCAGAGCTCGTGAAATGCCGCTTACGCAATAAATTTTAGGATGAAATCGTGCCGACAATTACGAACAAAAAATTCGAAAATGTGAGAATCCAGAGGTACAGTACTCACCACATCAATTTCGATTTCTTGAATCTGAAAGCGCAAGATGATCGTCCAGATCAGCCCGAGGATGAGCCGGGGATTCCCGTCAACAATATCCTCAGCACCGATGCTTTCCAAGCGCACCTGTCAATGCCCAAGAAAAAAATGAATAAAAACGGCAAGCAATGCCCCACTCAGCTGCAACCCCAGAGCAGAAAACCCTCCACCACTCCACCAGGGAAATAAACCTCGGACGCACCTTGGTGTGGAGGAACGCTAACGACTTGTTGACGTTCTCGATCTTATGGACCCTCATACGTCCGTTGTTGGGCTTGCCGAGCTTCTCGCCCGAAATGATCTCAAGCAGCTTCAACAGCTTCTTGCCGTCAGCCAGGTCCAAGAAGAGGTCCTCGACTTCCATCCGCGCCTGCAAACCGGGAGTAGGATATAGAAGCGACTCGTGAGCCCACGGACTCGCCCTTCACACCGCACCCACGTCACGACTCTGGCGGACGAGCGCTTAAAAACGCATTTGCTCGCGTGCGGGGAAACATTGAAACTTCATCGTTCTTCGTCAAGGAACGGACTTTTTCGGAGCACCGTCATAATATAACGTGAAGGATCATCGTATCTACATTTGAATGTGCTGCATGATCAACTACGGCTGAAATCTCGTCAAAACTAAAGCCGGTCAAGTGGACTTTTCCGAACAACGAATATTTGCTCACAGTCTTTGCGGATGCTCTACACTGTCTACAGAATGCATGATTTTCATGGCACATAAAATACATCAGTATATGTGTGCGCTCTATAGCAATACCTAGGCGATCGAACATACAGTTATTTGGGAGTATTTTGAGAATATCGTTTGGAAGGAACACGGTACGTATCCAGTACTGAATATCGACAGATGCTCCTCTGAAACGAAAAATCGTTACATGAAGAAAGTTGTCTTTGATAAGATCGTAATAGTGAAATCACCAGCATAGAAAAATTGATCCTTTTTAAAATCAATTTATGAATTTTTTAAAATTTTATCTTCATTTCTAAAAATAAAATCCAGTTGTGAATTGTGATACACAAGTAGAGTTTCTGAGGTCGGGAGTGTTCCGAGAAAATATTGAAAATGATTTAAAGTCAAAACGTGAAGAGGGAAGGATGGAATTGTTCTCAGTACCACAGAAGAGGTAATATTGTATAGGAAAAATATGGGATTGAGAACGCCCAGTCCTATTGAGAATCCGAGTTTGATAATTTTAAATGGAAAGCACCGTCATAATATAACGTGAAGGATCATCGTATCTACATTTGAATGTGCTGCATGATCAACTACGGCTGAAATCTCGTCAAAACTAAAGCCGGTCAAGTGGACTTTTCCGAACAACGAATATTTGTTCACGGTCTTTGCGGATTCTCTACAGAATGCATGATTTTCATGGCACATAAAATAAATCAGTATATGTGTGCGCTCTATACCTAGGCGATCAAACATACAGTTATTTGGGAGCATTTTGAGAATATCGTTTGGAAGGAACATGGTACGTATCCAGTACTGAATATTGACAGATGCTCCCCTGAAACGAAAAATCGTTACATGAAGAAAGTTGTCTTTGATAAGATCGTAATAGTGAGATCACCAGCATAGAAAAATTGATCCTTTTTAAAATCAATTTATGCATTTTTTAAAATTTTATCTTCATTTCTAAAAATAAAATCCAGTTGTGAATTGTGATACACAAGTAGAGTTTCTGAGGTCGGGAGTGTTCCGAGAAAATATTGAAAATGATTTAAAGTCAAAAAGTGAAGAGGGAAGGATGGAATTGTTCTCAGTACCACAGAAGAGGTAATATTGTACTGTATAGGAAAAATATGGGATTGAGAACGCCCAGTCCTATTGAGAATCCGAATTTGATAATTTTAAATGGAAAGTGAAGAGGGAAGGATGGAATTGTTCTCAGTACCACAGAAGAGGTAATATTGTACTGTATAGGAAAAATATGGGATTGAGAACGCCCAGTCCTATTGAGAATCCGAGTTTGATAATTTTAAATGGAAAACTCGAAGTGAATCTCAATACTGAATACGTTAGCTACATATTTTAGAACACATGTTTCGAAATCGCCCAGGTTCGTTACAGCGAAATTTAAACAAGATTTTGTGTATACAGTAAACCTAAAATGTTGGACCAACATTTCTAAAATGGGACCACATAGAAGCCTCGTCTGTCATTTCGAATTTTCATCAGGAGAAAATTTTTAAATTCTACGCATTGCACTACGTCATAATTCAACTACAACAACTTCGTACGCTCAAACAAATGCATACGGGCCTACGAGTAACCGATGAAGGTGTAGAGGGAAAAGTTCCACATAAGATTTTAAGTGCTAATTCAGGTATGAGTATGACTGCCCACAAACGAGAAAACAAAATTGGCTGCGAGAAATTCCTCGGCAATTTTAAGCACTCCGAAGCAACGTAGCACGATAAAATAGGGAATTTATATTTAAACTTTCAAGTAGAAACGAGAAGGCCATGGAAAGGTGAAGCTAAAACAAGTCTAAGGAGCTTTACTGCTCAAGCGTACAAACGAGTGATAACATCGATTTTCATGCTTTTCCATCGCTCATCAGCTCCTTTGATGCAACTACAATCTGATCCAATGTATATACGATGCTGATTTTTAAAAGCACTCAACGTTGAATAATGAATAACAGAGATCAATCTGTTGGGGAGAAATATTGAACAATCTTCGACGTTTGAAGAGAAAAGGACTCTTTTCGAGTCGGCGGTACTGCTTATACATTCCAATATTCCTCGCTGGAGTCGGTCAGGTTAGATAATTGAATGAAACGTCGAAGATTGACTCCTGGTTTTTAATCCACCATGAAAAGCTTAAAGAGGTATAACATTCTGTAGTAGATCGTTGTACTGAGAATCGCAGGAAATTGTATCCGAGAAGAATGTTCGCTACAAAGATTGAAAGAGTATCAAGTGCATATTCGCAAATAGAAGACGCAATTTTGGCTGGCTGAAAATATATCAGGTGCATACAGTATTATAATTGCTGGAAATTGCAGAATGCTGCTTTAGTGGGTGTTTAAAAGTACAACTAATGAACCATATTTCGTTTACTCGTTGAACATACTGTATTTCTAATTGTCAGGCTAATTTTAAAGTTTGATCAGAAGTAAATGCAGAAACTTGTTATCTGAAATGCTGAGCGCTGATTGGGTAGATTTTCCTGGGAGTATTCATCTTTAGATTGAAACTTTTGACAAAATATTGCTTGAAAATCAATATAATTTGAAAGAACATCTCAGAGCCTTTATTTGAACTTCGTCATTGAACAGATAAAAATCGGTACATATATTGGTCAGCCATCACGATATCTTCTAGCATGCGAGTTACGAACCGAGAGTGACTGCACATTCATCGGCAAACTTTCATCAAGGATAACAAATAAAGGTGCGTCTCAGAATGAATTGCGTCTCATATTTGCGTAAATCCAGTAATAGTCGCTCCAAAAATAACTTTAAATGCCTGCGTAATTTTTGAACGCACAGCTGCACCATGTCTCTACGTTTGTATGCGCAATATTTTTTGTGGAACTTTCATCAAGACGCACTTTCTCGATCTCTGGCATGTATTCGTCAATTGATTCGAACAATTTCAAAGGAGGGGATTTGCAATGATGAACAAAGCATTCATAAAGGTTTTTCTGGATCTCCTGAGATGACTCATGAAGGAGATACGAGTACTGGATTCGGTTTTCAAGTAGTGAAGTCATAATTTTCTCATCAGGTTTCACGTTCGACGGCTTCTCACTACCCAAATGCACATTTGAAAAATCCCTCACGTACATCGAATACTTGATTTGAATACTTCAACACATACCAATTTTAACTTTAGATGACCACACACACATAATGCAAAAGTTACAAAAATAACTTTTTAAGATTGATGTGCGAGTTGATAGCTATTAGGACTTGCGCTTCATATAATAACAGTGGGATGTGTTTTCTTTGTGTTTTTCGACTTGGCAGTACAGATTTGGAAAGTTCCGAATTCGAGAACTTACCTTGTGAAGGAAAGAGTTGATCCATTTCGTGAACGTCTTCTTCTGAATATGAAGACGTTCCTCCTGAAGGGCCTTAATGCGACCCTTCTCGAATTCCGCGGGCGTTTCCCGCGTCTGCGCCATGTCCGTCAACACGTCACACCGGCGATTTGCAAATCATGCGTCACAACAAAACTACCACGTTGCACGGAACCGAAACCGCGCCGTTGTCACTCACATTTTTACGAGTGTCACCACTTGATTTCCACCCGTCACATTCTGTTTTGGACAAACAAGAGAAACACGTGANATTGAATGAAACGTCGAAGATTGACTCCTGGTTTTTAATCCACCATGAAAAGCTTAAAGAGGTATAACATTCTGTAGTAGATCGTTGTACTGAGAATCGCAGGAAATTGTATCCGAGAAGAATGTTCGCTACAAAGATTGAAAGAGTATCAAGTGTATATTCGCAAATGGAAGACACAATTTTGGCAGGCTGAAAATATATCAGGTGCATACAGTATTAAAATTGCTGGAAATTGCAGAATGCTGCTTTAGTGGGTGTTTAAAAAGTACAACTAATGAACCATATTTCGTTTACTCGTTGAACGTACTGTATTTCTAATTGTCAGGCTAATTTTGAAGTTTGATCAGAAGTAAATGCAGAAACTTGTTATCTGAAATGCTGAGCGCTGATTGGGTAGATTTTCCTGGGAGTATTCATCTTTAGATTGAAACTTTTGACGAAATATTGCTTGAAAATCAATATCATTTGAAAGAACATCTCAGAGACTTTATTTGCACTTCGTCATTGAACAGATAAAAATCGGTACATACATTGGTCAGCCATCACGATATCTTCTAGCATGCGAGTTATGAACCGAGAGTGACTGCACATTCATCGGCAAACTTTCATCAAGGATAACAAATAAAGGTGCGTCTCAGAATGGATTGCGTCTCATATTTGCGTAAATCCAGTATTAGTCGCTCCAAAAATAACTTCAAATGCCTGCGTAATTTTTGAACGCACAGCTGCGCCATGTCTCTACGTTTGTAAACGCAATATTTTTTGTGGAACTTTCATCAAGACGAACTTTCTCGATCTCTGGCATGTCTTCGTCAATTGATTCGAACAATTTCAAAGGAGGGGATTTGCAATGATGAACAAAGCATTCATAAGGGTTTTTCTGGATCTCCCGAGATGACTTATGAAGGAGATACGAGTACTGGATTCGGTTTTATAGTAGTGAAGTCATAATTTTTTCATCAGGTTTCACGTTCGACGGCTTCTCACTACCCAAATGCACATTTCAAAAATCCTTCACGTACATCGAATACTTGATTTGAATACTTCAACACATACCGATTTTAACTTTAGATGACCGACCACACACATAATGCAAAAGTTACAAAAATAACTTTCAAGATTGATTTGCGAGTTGATAGTTTTTAGGACTTGCGCCTCATATAATAACAGTGTGATGTGTTTTCTTTGCGTTTTTCGACTTGGCAGTACAGATTTGGAAAGTTCCGAATTCGAGAACTTACCTTGTGAAGGAAAGAGTTGATCCATTTCGTGAACGTCTTCTTCTGAATATGAAGACGTTCCTCCTGAAGGGCCTTAATGCGACCCTTCTCGAATTCCGCGGGCGTTTCCCGCGTCTGCGCCATGTCCGTCAACACGTCACACCGGCGATTTGCAAATCATGCGTCACAACAAAACTACCACGTTGCACGGAACCGAAACCGCGCCGTTGTCACTCACATTTTTACGAGTGTCACCACTTGATTTCCACCCGTCACATTCTGTTTTGGACAAACAAGAGAAACACGTGAGGTAACGAAAAAAAAACCGCAAGGCTTGACGCGAATTCCAATAAGCTCGCGTAAACCAAATGTAATGCGATAGAGATAATCATAGATTATCTTCAAGACGAAAAACTTCGATTGGAAATCTTGGCCGAACGAAATGGCTGAAAGAAAGAAAATAAATATCCAAGTTTTACTCCCGAAAGAAACGAATCCTGGAAGAAGATGGGATTTCGATGCAAGTCTGGAAGATTAGAAACCAAAAATTCATTACCGGGACAGCACGAGGAAATTACGGTGTTCTAGTGCTTGACCAACCCAAAATTATGCGCGACCGACCCAACTGTGCAACACTGTTCTAGCAAATTCTTGCATGCGAAAAACGAATGTTTTCGAGAAGAAACCCCGAAGTATGTAACATTGCAACTGAGACCTGCTCATCTTTCCAATCCCTTCACAGCAGAAACGACTTCTGATCATCTTCTCATCAAGTTGTTTCACGTTAAAAATAAAAGTCTACAAAGTGCACTCAAAACAGATCACATCAGAATCTCACTGAAAAGGAAATTAAATGCTTTTTTCGTCCCTTTCTAATAAAAAGAATAGCTTAAAATGATAAATAAACAATAGAACTGTGAATGACGGAGGGTACCTGTACAGTATGATTATCTCTTTCGACTGATATACTGCATAATAATTGAACGCACCAGAGGCAAATACAGTACTTGAGTCAGTACATTTCGGAGAAAAGATTCAGTAGTGTAAAAGTTGTCACAACATTTCAAGGTAGTTGCATTTCCCGGTGATAATGAACTCCGTGAAAATATATTCATTCATAGGAGATAATTTTCACTTGTATGGTCAACAGCTCAATAGCAAGCTCGTACGTTATCATCATAAAAGGTAACACGGACCTTTTTTTTTAAAGAAAAAAATGCCTGTGTTTAAAGATTCACGGGCAGGTTCGCTCACACTGGCACTGACGCGATGTAATTTCAACGTTGGGCTTCGTTTAATGAAGAACGCTCCCATTTGGGCGACTAGTTCTCAACGAAATCCCTTCTAGATAACTCATAAATAGCATTTCAGAATTGAACGAATCGCCAGAGGAAATCACGAGAACGTTGAATATGACCTTGAGACCGGAGAAACGACATTGAAGACACAGTAGATTATTGTATTCATTCACTTTCCTGAGAGGCACTCCCCGTCAACCAACGAGCAAGCCTTACAAGGAAAGCTTTCGGAGATTTTCATCGTGCGTTTGCTTTCATGAATAAAAAAAAACTTCCGGAACGAAAGCATGAATCCGATCACATTTTTGCTCGACTGCAGAGTCACGATGCCAGCAACGGCGAAAGAATTTGTGACTTGATATCCGATAACGCCGCGTGAACCGCGACGGATTCCGCACACAAACGACAGACGCTGCAGCGAACAAACAAGTAAATGATTGGAACAATGATCCACAGAGAAAAAGAAGCATTCACAACGAGTTCGAAGAAAGCGAATGATCAGACTTGCTGAGTCACGTCGAACACCTTACCTCAAATTCCTTTTGAAATGAATCAACAACGCCTTGAACTCATCTTGATAAACTCTTATTTCAAGTGACTAAAATATGGGTAGGAAATATTCGTAGAAAATCCTAGAATTCCAGAGTAAAGAATACGCGTATTCTTACGCATTTACAGCATAATTAAGAACTATTCAAAATGACGTCAAAATACTATTTCATGTTATTGATTCATATGACTGATGAAGATGTCTGGCAAAATAGTCCGTAATCAATCCATAGATGGCAAACGAAGACCTCGCACACTTCCGTGTACTGCACTTCAAGGCACTTGAAATCAAGAAGAGAAGAAGATGAAAGAGTTGATTCACTTAACGTACACAGAAAATTTTCGGACAGTTGAAATTACAGTATAAAAGAGAGATTCGCTCAAAGTTTCGGAACATGTTCGAGAGGATTCCATTTACCTCAAGTACTCATCAGCAACTGCAGTGAAGTGCTACACCGGATTCAAGCCGCGAAACTTCGATACCACGCGAAGGGACGACGCTTGCGTAATGCACCTTAATAACAAGGTCAGGATCGAAGGCGGTTTTCACCAATAGCACTGTTTTTTTGTTTTTTTAAGCACGCACGTCGGAAAAGAGGCGGATGAAAAACAAGCAATTACAGGGCCGCGGTTCGCTGGTTTCAACAATGAAACGCCGCGAGTGACCCAGTGAAAAATCCGCTTGTTAACCACTCAAACGCTGGATGTCGAGCGGATTTTCGCCGCCGCGAGGCATTGACCCGACCACAGGAAATTGGAACACGTCGCCAAACACCCAACAGGCAACTCTCACGAGGGACGAGACACTTTCACGAACTCGTTCATCCTTTGACACACAACATCCTCGCGAATGCCGGCAAAGCAAATAGCTCCGGGAAACAGCTGAGGGACCTTTTCTTTTTTAATTTATTCGCCGGGGGAAATGCCTCGCTGAACACACAACGCGTCATGGAGGGCTTTTCCGCGTCATGGCAAAGATCGCTTCTTTGGAGCACACAACGTATCGAGTGTCTCCAGTAAGATTCATCGCTAAAAAGATGAGCCACAGTATTTATTTTTATTTTGTTGTTGCTGTTTGCGCGCGTTATATTACCTGGAAAGCTCTGTGTCCGATGATACAATTTCGGCCGATTTAAATAATCCAAGGCATATTTTTCCGTGAAAATGTTCCTCGGCTTATCTTTTCCACGCCGTGAACATAAGTCAACCATGCTCGCTCGGAATAAGCTACACTTCAGCCTCTCATCACGTGAACTCCGAAGAGTCAAAACACTGAAACGAATGATCCAATACATAGAAAGATCACGTAACACATTTTTATATGTGACACATGCAGTACATCCAACCCCAGAAGTATGCATTAATTTAAATGGTGCCGGGACAGTCAAGTTCACAAAGAACAGCGCGCGTACAATTATCAAACAACCGAGTAAAAGAAAATTAAACTGTAATTGGACAACTGGAAAAGCGTCAACTGTTGAAAAAATCAACTACAGTACCTGTATCACGATGAAGGCACCGAGGGCTTCAATCATTATCGTAATGGGGCATTTTATTATTTTTGAAGAAGCCTTCTTCAGCATTTTTCAGAATTAGAAACCTAGCCAGATCTGGTCAGAGTACAGTGAACTGCTTTAATTTCTTATCTAAAAAAAACTCCTTTGCACAAGTGCTGTTTTGTGTCCTTCTTGTTTCGTGTCACTTTGTTTTGGGACGTGTTCAACTGACCAGTCACACTTTCGGAATTATGCATCGGGGGAAAAATCA